GTTATATGGGCAATGGCACCCTTTTTCATCCATTTTCACACTGTCGATAGAGGTGCTATAAACATTTGTTCTCAGTGAATTTTGTTTTTATAGCTTGAGCGTTTTAGGTTAGATATGCACATTAAACCTATTAGAAAGAGGGACCACGCCCACTTTTTAAAAAATTTTAAACTGCAGATGCTTCTCGCTAATGTGATCCTGTATACCCAATAACAGTATTGTATCTTATTTGTTGAGCTTAGTTATGGCAATTTATTTGTTTTTGATTAATGGCGTTTTGTGGGCGTGGCAGTGTACCAAGTTTCATAAAGATAGGTCTTTTTTTTACTAAAGTTACAGCTTGCACGGACGGACGGACGGAGGGACAGACAGACACCTGGATTTCCACTCGTCTCTTCATTCTAATCATTTATATATATATTGTATAACCCTATATCTAACTCGATTAGTTTTAGGTGATACAAACAACCGTTAGGTGTAGCAACATGTTGCAAGAGTATACAAAAAATGTAACATAAAATATTAAAGTTGAAATAAAAACGTGAACGTCCTTTTCTTTTTTGTTAACACTCCGAACTACACCCCTCCTGCAACTTCCGCTCTTCTGATTCGAATCAAATTTGGTCCATTTTTACCCAATTTGATCCACTTTTTGGTCCAAAAAGAATGACAAATGGCAACAGTGGTTATTGATATAAAGAAAAGGGGATTTTTTTGGAAAGAGCATTCTGATGAGATTATAGTACCGCTATTATTAAATAAAGATATTTATCACAAAAAAATTTTGCAATATTATAGTACATCTGATAAGATATGAAACAGAATCGTTGCTCTTGTAAAACGTCTTCAATATTTATAAAGCAAATATTTGTGGATTACTTGTAATTGGTAGGAAATGATGATATTAGACATATTAAGGTCGTTTTTATGACAAACAACAAGGAACGAAAATTAATCAAGTAAAATATTTTTTCTGGCAGATTTTCGTCAATATATGTAAGTGCACAAACGAACTTATTTCGAATAGGAAGAATATAAACATCTACGGATAGTGTTAAAAAAAAATCTGAAAATCAGCAAATGCCGTGCGTTTCTTGAGCTGAATATGCAAGAACCCTATTTTACAACAAATATACACATTAAATACATGTATATTAGATGTATTACGTTGTATAAAACAATAACAAAATATTTCAAATATTATCTACTATATAAAGATTGTATGTTGAAGACGTTAAGCAAAAATATATTAATTAATATTTAGAATATTAATAAGCAATTAATAATTAATAAGGAACATATACATACATGTATTAATAAACAAACATAGATAATCGTTTATCCCTTCGTCATAAATTATTGTAAATATCTGTTTTTAGTTATTTTTTATAACCGCAAATGTGCAACAATTTTTTTTATTTATCCCTCAAATTCATTCACAAATTGAAAATTTCTATACTAACAGTTATGTTTGATTTACAAAAAACTCCATAATAGGACAACTATACAAGGTGCAATTCAAAAGTTTCAGGACTTTTATTAAAAAACGAATATTATTATTATTATTTTTTAATTTATTGGTCGCCTTCAAAATAGTCTCCTTCCGCCTGAATACAACGTTTTGCACGTTCAAGAAGGTTATCGAATGACTTTTTTAGGTCATTTGTCGGTATAGTGTTGAGGATGGCGGTCGTCGCATTTTGGATGGCATCAACGTCAGCATAGCGGTTTCCTTCCATGGCCAAGTGTAGTTTTCCGAACAAATAAAAATCGCAGGGTGCCATATCAGGCGAATAGGGTGAATGGTTGATGATATGAATGCGATTTTTGGTCAAAAAATCTGTCGTGAGTGCCGAACGGTGAGATGGTGCATGGAGTGTGCGAGACAAATCGATCACAAACCTTTCTGAGGCCCAAATTTTCTGTCAAAATACGATAAATCGACGCTGCGGATATTGATAATTCCGATTCCATATATTTATGCGATGATTTCGGCTCTTTTTTAATGAATTCACGAACAATTTCCGTGTTTTTTTCGTTCACAACATCTTTTGGCCGGCCCAAACGTTCGTCGTGTCCCAACTCTTTGTATTCATAAATGGTTAATAAAGACATAATACAGCAGACTTCGTTTTCTTACATGGACAAATGTGTTATTGGTTAATTTCTCCATAATTTGAAGTGTTATTTAATCACTACAGTACATTTCAAACTTTCAACATCAACAACTCAAGCCATTGTGAACTGTTACACGGTGAATTTTCTCTCGCTTGTTTGTTTACATTTTGCCAGTATGCGCGCTATATTTTGTGAGTTTAGTACTTAAAACAAAACAATCACTGATAAAAATTTTAAATCGTCGCTTAAAATACAAAAGAACGTATTATTTTGATTTTTTTATTGATTATAATTCACTATATCACATTTACACATGTGTACAAAATTGTGAGACTGCTTCCAATTAAAACCAAATCAAATATTATTGCAATATTAGTAGTTTCTATTTTATATCGTTTTTCCCTCCTCCTGTAAAAATTATGAAAAATGATGTTACGTTATTTTGCATTTTAGGTGACGATATGTACTACTACAACTACAACAAGTAGTGTGAAGTTTAAATTTGATGGATATTTCTTGGAGTGGATTTTCCAAAAAACAAAATCTGTTCTTAGCTTGAAAACATGTTGTTTTCTGATTACGTTAACAAATGAAACTATTTGCTAATTGTCAATAAAAAATTTTAAGAAATTGAGTATAAGTAAAAAAGAATTTTGCAAGTTGTTATCATAATTTAAAAAATTCTGTTCAAGTGGGTGTCTACAAAAAAAAAGGTCTTATGAAAATAACTTATTAATGGAGGACGTTGTATGCCGATGAGTATTTTATCAGTCGTTTAGGTTATAAAAATAATTTAACAACGGTTAAGAAATTACTTTATATCGATATTAAAAAAAAAAAAAATATTATACAAAAAAAATTCGATTTAGAATATTAATTTAGATAAGAAATGATTATTAAGCAAAAGATTTGTTGCATCTCTAATTAAAACCAAAGGAAAAAAATAATTGTGCAATTAAAATAAATAAAATATAGCACCACTCTTTTAACGGATAACTATGTAATATTAATGCACACGAAAGTATAAAGTTCTGTAAAAAGTTTTACTTCACTTAACAGTTATTACGATTTAATTTGGCCGACTTATGATTGACTTTAATCAAACTTATTTTTTAATCATTGCACATTTAAACGAATACAAAAACCGGCATTGGCAACACTGTGGCAGGTTAAAGGCTATTTCAACAAAATGGTTTGCATTACTATAGCAGACAAACAAACACAAAACAATGTACAAACCATATACCTTAATCATCATAGAAATTAAATGTATCAAAGAGCGCTCAACAAAAAAACACACACATACTTGCAAATTCTTTAAGAAGGGGGCTTGGCAGTTTGGGTTTAAAAGCACTTGGGTTTTACGCTAATGTCGCCCGCATAATCACACACTGCAGGTGCACATAGATACATATTCACACATACACAACCAATTGACAAGTGAACACGGAGCAAATATTTAATAGGATTATTGGGAAATTAAGTAAACAAAACAGCAAGAATAAAATCTAAACGTACAACTAAACTGAATGAGAGAATGTATTTTACCAAAAAAAAAAAAATTACCTCTCCCATCATCATTAAAGAGTTCACCTTTCGTAGATCTTTAGTTGCGTTAGGCACGTAATTGAATGGTAATAAATCGATTGCACATTTTCAATTTCTTCACATTAATTAATTTTCTTTACGAACAAACGGCGTGAATGTTAAAAAAAAGGCAAGTACTACAAGTATTTGACACTGGTAAAAATGGATTGAAAAAAGAAAATTGCTCAAAAATTACTTACCAATCAATGTTAGCCGCTGGTTAGGTGTTCCATTTAATTGATTTTCACTTTGTCAATATTTTCTTTACACATTTAAGTAGAATCACACTAATATTGTATTTGCATTATTGTAAACAATATTAATTCGCAATATTCTTTACACAGGTAAAACTGCCAAATTTTTAACAAAATTGCACAGCACGAAAGAGAGTACGTGACCACAGCGAAAAAACTAATGCATTCACAATGGCTATGACCGCTGCACACACCTACTGACATATTTAATCTGCAATTCACAGTGGTGCAACAACGAACGAACGCAGCAAAGCATGTTAAAGCAACAAAAACACCACGTTTTGTAAAGCTATCAATGCAGCACTATACAATGTAGCGACAGCAGAGGATAATCGTTTTCGATCGTTCACGTTCGGGGATCTCCTTTTTAACAAGTACAACTGGTAGGAATTCTCAAGGTTTTTCCCCAAGCACTTAATCATATATTTGCAGAAATTTTTTTCACTGTTTAATTATTTTCGTTTGCATAACATTTTCAATAGTAGCGTCATGAGAATAACCACCGAGTTTCGTGTAAATTCGTAAACAATTAGAGCAGCGCACTTTTATGTGTTCTCTACCTTTTAGTGCTTCACATATGAATAATATAACAAATAATCATCGCCAACCACAGTCAGGTGTTTTTTTTAAGTATTTCATATAGTCTTCTAATTCCTGTCAACACAATTATTATATTTTCACAACCTACCAATATTTTTTCACACACTAGAGTTGCTGACAACAATTTTGTGTAGAAATGTTGAGAGACTTGCGAAAGTTTACGCTGAAATTCACAATAGTATGTTGTAAAATTAAACCTGTTGGGCATGCAACCGTGTGTACAAAATTGGTTCACAACATTGATAAATAAGGTACTCGGGTTATGATAGAAATATAGTAAATAGTAGTCGTTATACAGGAAATTAAAACAAATTCCGGGTTTAAGTATGTACCACCTTCATTGTGAAGACTGAAAATCGGTCATTGTATTTTCCAATATTTGTAATAATTACTTCGTGTAAAACCCTAAAAAATCCAATCGTAGTAATGAAAAATATTACATTTGCTTCTATAACAATTTATTTATATTTTACTTTTTATATCTTGTGGAATTAACATAGTATAGTATATCTGTATGCTTATATAAATTTTTTATACTTATAATGACAACAATGAACAACAACAAATACAGTATACGAATGTCTCTAAGTATGGATGCATGTATGTATGTATGTACGTTTGCATTAGCGTAATATTGTTAACAATTTTATTTCGCACCATTTTTTCTATGCATGGCGTTTAAATGTTAAGAAAGCCAAGGTTTTTTGCATTTTTACTTCAAAAATATATGTAATGCATTGTTATAAATACATATTTGTTTCATTTTTAATAAGTATGTACTATATTGTTTTGTAAATATAATATCCGATTTGTATTTGTAAACTCGTTTGATTGTGTAAATTCCCTAAACGATTTGCAGCAGCCAAGGATATTATAATAATTCTTTGAACAATACGCCTCAAGCTTCGTTTTCATTATATATGTATAGCAAAGTTAGTATTAATAGTAATGTTATTGTTTTTTTTTAGGAAAAAGTTTTGGAAAATATCAATTGCATTTATTGTTGTTGTTTTGTTATTATTTATACAAGCCTTTTTCGTTTGCTTAACAAGAGCTGAAAATCATTAATGGCAAGTCGATTTTTCTTAAAACTTCATAGAAAAAACTGTTCCCTGTTTCTCTCCAAACCGCTGTGTTGTTAATATTTATTTATAATTAAATTAGCTTTTCAAAGGCTTTTTGCGTGCGAAAAACCTTTAAATCGACCTTTAATATAAGCTACACAGTGTTCAAATATTTTATTTTTAGCGCGAATTGCCAAAAGTTTAGTTTTTAATTAAAAAAAAAAAAATTATGTACATACTCGTACATATATAATTTGTATATTGGCTAAGTTTCGTTGCTTTTTAGGTATTATTTAATGAAAATAATTTTGCTATTATATTGATTATGCTAATTTTGATTTGTTTCTTTCTACCTTTTCATTTACTTTCATTAAATATTTCATAATTTTACTTTTTAAATTCCCTATGTACGTATGTTTTAGATATTAAATTATATTTTCAATATTTTTGTATTTTATCAGAAAATATTTACTCATACACACTTTGAATGGTTATGGTGTTCCTCGCTTAAGTACAATCAATTCTCTCTCTGGCTGTTTTTTTTTTACTGTGTTGTAGTTTTCTTTATATTTTCCATTTAAGTATGTATATGTGTATATTTATATTGAAACATATATCTTTATTTGCAAACTGCAACTTAAATCTAAGTATGTGTATACGTTTTAAAATGTTGTATGTATATGTAAATATAAGCAGCATTCATTAAAAAATTTCCTTCTATATGCATTCACTGGTATAATTTTTAACATTTTCATTAAATTTCAAAGGTGCGTTTATTTGCTGGTCACAAGATTTAAAAACTCCTCTCTGGTCTTAGGATCATCACGGAAGACGCCCAACATTGTCGAGGTGACAGTTTTGCTATTGATCTTCTGCACGCCACGCATCACCATGCACATGTGACTAAAATAGCAAAAAACAAAAATTGAATAAAAATAGAGACAAATTTATTTATACAAAATCAATAATGTTAATATGTAAATATTTGAAGTTCTTTTATTAATGCTTGTATATTAATATATGTATCTATATTTAACCTATATTTCATATTATGCAGCTATTTTTATTTATTTTTTTTTTTAGTATTATACATACATATGTGTGATATACTTACACTCCCTCAATGATGACAGCAACACCAGCTGGTTGCACAGCCTGTGTGACAGCAACGGCGATTTGCTTCGTCAAACGTTCTTGCACTTGTAGACGACGTGAAAAGATCTCAACAATTCTGTAATAAATTCGGAATGTATTCAAGAACTATTTTAATATATAAATGTAACATTATATAAATATGACTCTGCAACAATTATGTTGTAAGCAACATAAACAGGCACCCAAAATACTTAGGTTATGAACTATAGAAATTTATCTACCTTGCCAATTTGCTGAGTCCCAAAATCTTATTGCAAGGCAAATAACCAATAGAAACCTTTCCATAGAATGGCACCATGTGATGCTCACACATGGAAAACATTTCTATATCCTTTACTACTACCATTTCATCATGATCCTCATCGAAGACAGCGCCATTGAGAACGTCTAAAAGCAAAATTCAATAGATAAGAAAAATATATTAGCATTTTTCAGAAATTCAAATCTTTAAGAATTTTGTGTTCAATAAAAAAAAGTCATATATTTTGTTGCAAATTTAAAATATTGTTACCTATGAAAAATAGTATGGAAAAGAAATATAGAAAAGTCACAATTATTAAAAATGAAAATTGACAAAAAGTAATTAATCTCATTATGTTTTGTGACCCCGACGTGATTTGAACACGCAACCTTCTGATCTGGAGTCAGACGCGCTACCGTTGCGCCACGGAGTCTTATAATCACTCATTCACAAATGCACTACACAACTACACTTGCTACCCCTTGATTATAATTATTACGACAGCTCATTCACAATAGGCTAAAAAGACTACTAAATATTTGCTGTCAGCGCAGATCAAATCAATTTTATTAAACTTTTTTTTAGTATACATACATTTGCACATATATAGATAAATACTTATATTATATATTCGTATGTGTTTGTATTACATCTATCTTAAAAAGTGCTTTTAAGTTTATTGATTTATTTATTGAGTCAAAAGGATTTTAAGGTGTTTTTGTTTGCAATGTTACTATTCAACTGCAAACTAGAGTTATTAGAAGCTGATTCCACATAAAGCGTATTTCAAACAGAATACTAAAAAACAGATAAAAACATATTTCCTTTTAGCTGTTTGGCGTTTTTAAAAAGCAAAATATTCATCTTTGAAATCCACTGTTTCAAACTGCCAAATGATATATACAGATATATGTGGATATGCTGTATTATTATCGTTTTTTTATTTTTAAATACACAATGTTAAAATATATTAATATTTCAAAGAATAATTAAATAAAATTTTTTTCCCAACAAAAAAATGCAGAGTAAGAAAAAAATATTTCACTTTTGTGACCCCGACGTGATTTGAACACGCAACCTTCTGATCTGGAGTCAGACGCGCTACCGTTGCGCCACGGAGTCATATATTTAATCATTCACAAATGGCGTACTCAAACACAAGCATTTGGTAAATTAAAAAAAAAAAACGAAAGAAAGCTGAGTAACTACGATAAGCACACATGAGCTTGAACTTATGAAGCTTTAGGCAAAGCTCCTAGAATTAAGAGTAAACGAGGTCAAAGAGAGAATGGAAAACTTATGTTTCTGTAATTTGCGGTTAAGCAAAACAATACTAATGGAGGACCATTTAGAATTATTTTTTTCTTTTTCAAGTATTGTGTGTATCTAATGTATTTAATGAACATGCATTTTTAGTGCACCAAAATTTCTTTGAGTCTACGCCGTAAAACTGTGCCGCCACTTTTATGTTTCTTAAGTGAAAAATCTTTTAATAGCCTATCTATGGAAGGAATTTTTACTTTCGCATAAATACTTACGTATGTACATATTATATTATATTGTACATATCTGAGATATGTAGATTCTTACGACAGCGTTTTACGTATAAAGAAATGCCATTTCTTTTTTAATACTGAACACATTTCATATTTAATTTTTCTCCCAAATAATGCTCATATTGCATAAAAAAATTCCTGAATTTTTTTTTAATATCGTGATTCTATTAGTAAAGCTAGTATTAAAGTAGAGAATAAAATAAGTGCCTTTTAACTTAAAAAAATATTTAGCGATTGAAAATATCTTTTATATTTCAATAAAATAAACAAAATTTCGCAATAACTTTTTAGAGCAAAATGTTATGCTCAAATTACATTATTTGATGCGCTCAAAATAATCGTTTATTTTTATTAAGATACATTTTTTATTCTTTTTATTATTAATAAAAAACAAAGATCGTTTCTTATTGATTGACCCCGACGTGATTTGAACACGCAACCTTCTGATCTGGAGTCAGACGCGCTACCGTTGCGCCACGGAGTCGTGCTTAAATTATGGCGCAAATTAGCCACAAGAGTACGCGACCGGCTCGTAAAATAATTTTCTTGAAACAAAACATATTTTAATCAGGCATAAACAAATCCTTCCAAAGAAGACTGTACTTTAAATCTATACAAAAATATTATAGATTTTAATACAACATATACACATTGGTAAGTAAAAAAGTTCAACTCTTTGAATACGGTAAATTTACTTATAACGAATACTGCCTTGAAACAAAGCAAACAAAAATCGATTTTTATGTGGTCGATAAATTGTCGAAAACCGAATGTAACTGACAACAAAAATAAAAAATGTGACAAAAGAGTTGTAAGTTAAAATTAAATAATTAATTTAAAATAAAAACAAGTTACAAAGTCAAATTACAATGCCAGTAATTGACAAATACCAAAAATAAATACGGTTTACTTAATAGAAAGGCCAGTTTCGGAGCTTATATTAATTAAAAGCTAACTTTAGTGAGCATATATTTCTCTACTAAGACTATATGTACATACATACATATGTACATATGTATTTGTGAATGCACTTTGGCTAATTTGCAACACATTCAAACTTTCAATGCCTGATGAAATATTGCACGACAAGGGTTGCAAACAGCGAATTAAAAACATAATTTAATTAACATTTGAATTAACATTTTTATTTATAATCCCAAATACGGGAATAAAAAATGAAAAAAATTGGCATACCGAATGAAAAAATATAAAAAAATGTTTAATTCTAAAAACCGGATCCCAACTACCGGATGGTGCAACATGGTGTAACAAAAATAATAATTTCAATCTTAAGCATAAAATTAAGAATTAAAAACAGAAATTGCTTTAGAATTAACATTTTTTCGCATTCATTCAAATCAAAAATTAATATTTTTAATCCTAAAATCGGGATTAAAAAATGAAAACCTAATTTTTAATCCTAAAAAGAGATTTTAATTTTTTAATCCCAACATCGGGATAGTAAAAAAAAAGTAAATAAAAATTTTATTTTTAATCTGCCTTTTTAATTCAAATGGGAGCTGCAGTTTTTGTTCACTTATGCACATTTGCCGAAAACATGCATATACTAAATATGTAGGTACATACATATTTTGTATGCATTTGGGGGAAGATTTTTTATTTTGTAAAAATTAAACGAGTTTAGGAACCAGTTATTTACGTTTATGTATTTTTTGTGTAAATCAAGTTTTTGCATTAATTTTGATTTAGAATTTGCAAGCTACAGAGCTTTTTATCATATGGCTTAGTTATTTTTTCCACTTGCTTCTATGTATTAATTAAATAAACGTGTCGCAAAAATTCGATTTTTTGTATTAAAGTTCAAATGCAAAATGAAATTGCTTTGCCTTCAAAATATTCTAAAAAAAGAGGTCGAAATCAGAGAAGGAATAAAAATATATGAACATATCGGTTTAAAAACGCAAAGGAAGATCTTTGAAAAATAAAAATAATATTAAAATATTGACTTTACTTTTTATACATATATACATATGTATGTATGTTAAAAAACCAGGACTGTTTTATAAAAAAAAAATGCGTGACTGTTGGTTTTTTAGCCAAATTTTTCACAACTTTACACAATAAATCAAAGGCAAAAATCCATTTTTTCGGATTTAATTTGATTACATACAATCATTAAATATACAGACACTGCGGTCATAAATATGTATACGAATTTTCATAGTTACATGCGTAAGATGCTGTCAAAAAGGGATGCACGTAAAGAAACAGCAAAAGTTACATTAAAAAATATGTGTGCACTTATACATATGTACCATACATATATATATATGTGTGTAAGTAAATTTTATTTCCTTGCCGAAAAGGTTCACTCGTCGCCACACTCAGCAGAATAGTTATCTCCTACCAAATTTATTGACATTTCCTTCCAGGGTTGCCGTTATAAAAATTTGACCATTGCCAATAAATATTTCAAAGTTTTGGTTTCGATTTACATTCACTGATACATATTACATACGATGTTTGTTGAGCTTTCAAAGAATTTGATTCAAGAGATTCCATGATTACAGTTAATCAACTTAACCTGTGAAGTTTTTGTAATTCAATTTTTTGCGGCACATATGCAAGTATACAGAAAAGAATAATAATAAATCGTATATATTAGTTATTATTAATTTAAAAAGAAAACATTTTTCTAAAACATTTCCTTCAAATATAAATTAATATTTATTACATCGACAACTCTATTTTAATTATGCTAAAAACGTATATACGTAAGAAAGAGCGCACATTGGTATGTTAAAAAAAGAGAATGTAATATTAGCTGACGCAAAGGAGCGCAAAATCCAATTTTTGACTTGCTAACAGTGAGTACTGAATTTTTCATTGATTTCTATTTGCGTTGCTTGAAAATGCAGCATTGGATAGTCAACAGTTGTTTGTGGGAGAGGAGTTATAACCAACCTCTCCTTAGTATTATTATTGATATGTAGTATATACGCTTTTGACATAACCACTTGTTGAGAATCCCTTCAACATTGCGGGAGTTTTGTATGCAATCACGTAAGCATTTTGCTTTTCCTTTTCAACTTTCGTCATGAAAAATCTCTTCAAGATAAAACCGAATTTAAGCCCATGTCAAGGAAGCGTTAAATTCCACACACTAACCGTCCAGTCCATTTCTAACACAATTTTTCTTTTACCCCTCACATACATATTAGTAATACTTTTGCTTGGTTTCTTCTCAACAAAGGACACTTGTTTGCGCATTTGCTTTATACTTCTTACATTTAAATGTATGTACATGGAGATGAGTGTAAGCTTTTTAGCTATTTATGCGCACTCATGTCACCACTCAAAGTTAATATGGCGTAGAACAGTTAATTGTGTGGCCATCTTGTGTAAGCCAAGCTGTCAGTTAAAGTGCATAAATCAAACAAGGTCTGTTCGGATGCAGCAAAAGTTGGTTGGTTGAATATTACGATAATGTTTAACTTGCTAGCGTTGGAAAAACCTAATGCGTGTGCTAATTTAGTACGAAATCAGTTTATGCCATTTCTTGGTATGCAGCTTCATTTTTATCGGCGTATTCTGCAAATCACAAACACGATACGCTACTCTTTGCGCAGGTTGTTGTGGTATTTCCCCGCAAGCCAAGCTTTTACTAAAATAATTGACTCATCACTGTGAAACAGGTTGGAGCTGCAAAAAGAAATCCCCATGCAATGGACCAGTCTCACATAAGATATTAGTTTATGATGCATCATACAAGCTCTTGTATATGTATATACAACAAGAACAATTTCACAACTGACGTCAATGTTATGGCAAAAAATCGGTGTTTTTTGCAAGGTGGAGAACGGCATGTAAATTGGCTAATCATATAAGTAATCATATTTGTTGCTGCAGTTGATGACGTGGGTTCACTGACCGCTTATAAATGGTGGACAATTGTTGGACACTGAGGATGTTTGATTTCGTTAAAGGTATGTACATATGTATATGAATACCCAAGATGATAACAATCGTTATATATTGTATGTATGTTCATATAACTGTAAGTTAGATATGTATGTATGTTCATATAACTGTAAGTAAAAAGTTATTCGTAATTAACGCTAATAACACTGTTGTGCAATACCTTAATTGTACGATACTTTTTATAGTTGATTCATTTGTACCTAATCGCAGCGTCATTTATGCAACTCATGCACATTTCGATGTCAGAGATGTTAAAATTTGCCAAAATTCGTTAATCATTGCTTAATTACATACTATTGGAAATTTATAAAAGTTGCGCCTTTGAGGAAATGTTAACGTTTAAAAAAGATAGTTAACAAATTTATAGAAAATTTGTTTTGATGAAAAGGTGAATTAAAATTTCTGTCTAAACTAAATTTAGGTTATGAACACAGCTCACCGTTATATAATACGTGTAATTTCATTAATCAGACTACCGCTGATTTTAACTAAGAAGTGTCAAGGATATGATGAAGTCGTATTTTAAAGTTAAATTATTATTTTTAATTTATTGTATAATAATTTTTGGAAATAAATAATACTATTATATAATTTTTGATTGTTAAAGTAAACTAGTATATTGGATTTAACTAATTTTTTCTATCTATTGGGTCTACGTATAACTGTATTCGTACGTTTTGCCAAGAGATGGCATTGATTATGCTATTAATCCATTATTTCAGTATTCCCAATCTGCTTTGAAAAGCTACGGTCATTGTGCGTCTTTTTCAGTGTATGTCTTTTATTTGAAACGTAAACAGCAACTCAATGCGCCATTTCAAAACATATAAAAGCTAGCGGATACATTCAAAAGCAAGGAAATTACTTGTAGATACCTTATAAATTAAAACCAAGAGACGTTGAAAGACGATTTTACATTTCAAAAATGCTGCTTCAACGCTTTTGCATCATGCCGAAAAACGCGCGGAAACAATTTTCTATCAAGATAATGCTCGGCCTCACGTTGCAAGACCGGTTAAAAACTATTTGAAAAACAGCGACTGTGAAGTTTTGCTTCACCCACCCTATAGCCTAGACCTTGTCTCTTCCGACTACCATTTATTCCGATCGATGCCGAACGCGCCCATGAAATACGGTTTACAGGGTATCAAAATCTAGCTTGATTCATTCTTGACCGCCAAGCTGGTGTATTTTTTTTTGGATGGAATCCACAAATTGCCAGAAAGATTGAAAAATGTTATAGCTTTAGATGGGCTATACTTTGAATAGTACTATTGTAGATGTTTTTCTTAAATACAAGTTCAAATTTTGAAAAAACGCACGAACATACAATAGTTATAGACCCAATATTATGTATAATATTTCTATTAAGTATAATTTGTACCTATCTCTTTTTTGCTTAAGCATAAAGCTAGAGAAAAAATGCCAATTAAAAAATTGTGCCATTCAACTAATCAGCTTTTAGAGCAAAAACCTGCTATGGTATGTAAAATTTTTTTAAAATAAAAAATAAGCCAAGCTATAAAATCAAGTATTTAAGTTATAATTACAAATTCTACACAAACTATGGCTACGTCTACTTGGCTGAAGTTAGCATTCAACTATTGAGCGGCAAAGAGTAAGGAATAACTGACATGTGTGGATATCTAACAAGGCAATCGAACTAATGAATATCGATGACCAGCACTTTTCGAAACTTGAATTTTCGTTTGCACATAAATAATTTTGTATGTCAGCATGTAAGTTGAATTCACATATTTGATTACTTAATCATGAAAATTAGGGGCGATAAAATTACATTCAATAATAAAAAACATCTAATCGAGAACCACGGATTTCGTTAAGAGGAAAAATAATAAAATACAGTTCAAAATATTAAAAAAAAATAAATAAAAATTAAATAGTTTTTTTTTAGTTCAAACTTAAAATGGCATTAAATTTGCTCAGAAATTTCTAAAATCACATATATGTAAATATATATTTTCTTAGATTTAAAAAATATTATTAACAATAAAAGTCTATAAAAAGATCTTCATCTTGATTTTGATCGTTTAGTTTGAATGACAGCTATATGCAATAGTTGTCCGATGTGAACAATTTGTTCGGAGATTGTAACGTTGCCTTGATATTGAAGATATTTTGTAAAAATAAAACAGATTTCCATACAAGGACTTGAAAATATATACCAAGTCTAGTAAATCAACACATTTTTAATACCATTATAATCAATTACTTGTGCAATGACCGAACGAGGAATCACAAAGCTGCTTAAAACAAAAAGTTGCTTGTACTCACCTTCCAAATTTTGATCGTAACCCTTTGTAAAGAATAGCATAGCCTTTGCGGCGCGTTCGGGTGTCTTCAGCAAGCCCTGTCGTTCGGGATTCTCACCAAGTCCGCTCAGCAATAGACGATATGAACGCGACAACTCGGGTAGTAGTGCCTCACGTGTAGGTGGTTTGTGATCCAGCTCGAGATCGTGATGGAATGTGCAATGTTCATGGCCTAAGAGAATAAGAAAAATTAAAAACGAAATCAGTAAATAATTATACAAAGCAAATTTGGGAAGTGCGAAACCAAATACAATATTGCAGCGCGAAAACTTTAACAAACATAAAATTGCACGTTAGTAAGTTTGTGAGTTTTAGCGATTGCGTTTTTATAATTTACAATTTATTTAACATTGTTCCATACTTTTTAGATAAAAAAATATATTTAAAAAAATTAATTCTTTAGGAAATGTTATATGAGAAAATTAAAATAAAATATTTAAAAAAATATATATTTTTAAAAATATTATTATTTTTACTTTTCAAATATTATTTTTTCATAATATAATTGTTATTAACAAATAGTTCATATGTGTGATTAATCCCATATGAGCAAAAATAAATAAAAAAGGAAACAAAAATTGCAAACGTTTACCAAATAAAAATAAATAGAATAATGCTCAACTCAAAAGCAGTCACTGGTATATCATAAAATTATATTTATACTTGCTTCGTTAATTTCGTGTTTGCTTTAAATAAAACAATTGATGTGTAAAACATGCAAATTATTTTGCTTTATTTGTTATGTTTACAACGGCACCAATTTAGTGTAATTGAATCCAAAGCTTTAAAATATTCCAAAACATTACTTATCTGTCAAATAATTCATCAATATTTTGAAAACACTCTGCTAACAATCTACATCTATTGTAAAGTTGCCAGAAAACCAAAAAATGTTGTATGTGTAGTATGTCTATTGCAATAAATACCAAAAATATATGTATATATTTTAAGAAATGTTATATGTTTTATGTAGGTGAAAGGCAATTTTGGTATCTCAAGACCACTAATAGCACAATTTAATATTAATATAAATTTCCGTTGAATTTTGCCCAATAACTAGAAAAATATTGTATCTCAGCCTTGAATTACCGTTTAAGAGTATTTACAACTACTAATATAAATTACCGAATTTTCAATAAAATATGGTAAGTATTGCACCCTCAAAAACACCATCCTGCCAAAGTGCCGATATTGATGACACATTCACATAATAAGCATGGAATATTAATGCATAAATCAACATACCAGGGTGTATCTAAAGGGATTGAAATTAGTAAATATTTTTTCCAAAACTCTATAAAATTGTTCTATAAAATCATAAATTTACAACTAATTTATTTTAAGTATGTTACGAGTTATGAAAATGACATTTGAACTTTTCAATTACTTTCACTGTGTCCGCATTATAACATTGTGAACGTAGTATTATGTAATGCTAACTGGAATGCTATCAATTATTAAACAAATGTAAATAACTTTAGAAAAAAAACAAATTTTTATAATAATAAAAATAATATAAAATTAGTATTATAAATAAATAAACTATATTACTAAGAAAAAAAAATTAAAATAAATTTATATATCTTAGATTATTGATCGCTTCTTTTCATTAATTCTAATATTACATCTCTTTTAAAATTCTCTCAACGTGTGCAGTTCTGTTCTCGTTTTGTAGGCAATGTTTACCCCTTAGATCTTTGATAAGTAGCAACTATAATTATCAATAATATGTGTATACAAATAATAAAAAAAAAAAAATAGAAGACAATAAAAAACCAGCTTCTGTCATTTTGTAGACTATGCATCTCAAAATTAAATTGATTAATATAATTATGGCTCTACTGATAAGAACCAGAAATAGAAATCAAAATAACTAAAGAAAAAAGTGAAGATAAGAGCATTTTGCCCACAAAGATCGAGTTATTAGCTATTAAAAATTAAAAAAATTATATTAATTGACTGCACATAAAAGCTAAAAATATGTGTAATAAAGATCTATAATGACAGTGCGCCTGTGAAATCGATATGAAAACAACAGCTATATTTGTTAGAAGAAATCAGCGCTACTCTTAGTGAAAAGTTAATCTCAGAAATCGATAGAGAGGATATCGAAGATATGTGTTATTTGAAATATTGTACTTAAAATATATAAAAACAGTTAATTTATTCGAAAACCACATACATAAAAAAAATTTTGTGACACTATAATGAATATAACCCCAAATTTCGCGCCATTTACTGTGACTGATTTATATCAGTGTAACTGTGGTGTTATTTGATACTACACTTGTAGTTGGAATTTAAGAAAATATTTAAGTATAAAAATATCAGTTCCGGACGTTTCATATATGTAGATTTACGCCTGTACTTAATAAATACAACTTAAAAAACAATAATAAACATTATTTTCAACTTCAATTTTGAAAAACGAATGCGTAACTTTTCTTGCCTTAATTTTTGTTTTAATGATATTAACGCTGTAATTTAAAAAGTACACACTTTACATTATTTTGAACACCAGCAAAACTGATGAACGGGATACGCTGTCAAAACACGCAGTAAATATAACGCGCGTACATTTGACACCACAAAGCATCCAACGCACTCATTAATTTTCTTCTCTTCAACCAAAAAAGAAGAAACACAAAAAAGTATTAAAATATCAACACGCCCGAGTACGCAAACCCACCTGGTGTAGTTGATGTGCGCGGCGTTTTTGGCGTCATCGGTGCGTCCGCCTCGTGCTCCGGTATAATGCCATTTGTCTTAAGCATTAGCTTTGGGCGCGTAAAGGATACAGGTGGCGTTGTAATCGCTGCATCCTTTATTGCAGAATTAGTTAAACCACCAATCACGCCACCGCCAACAACGTTGCCACCATTCGGTGTGACGGGTGCAGCAACGGTGTTAGCCACGGTCGTGGTGACGACCACTTCATCTGTTTGCGAGAGTGCACGATCCATTAGCGGTGTTGTGCCCGAAGCCGAACTGGTTGAGCAGACGCTGTTGTTGCGGCCACGTGATAGGATATGCGCCTGCGGAAAATTGGTGTCGTCAATGGCGTCATTTAGTTCACTGGCGCTCATTTCCGACAGTTGGCGTGTGAAGCTTATGCTCATTATTGTTGTTTTTTTTTGTTTTATATGAAATGCACACGTTAAATAAATTGCTTGATAAGTTCGTTGAAAGTTGTTGTATGTGTTTGTATATTATAACTTTGTGATTTTGTTGTAAAAATTAATTTTTATTAATTTGTACTTTTTCACTTGCTGCAAATGCCCTTTTTGATTGTTTCGTTATCGCATTTATTTATTAATGATTGCAATTTTCACTAAAATTTTTTTATAAATAAAACCAAAACAAATTGCGATTGTAAGTACTAAGTACTAATATTTATTGAACACTGTCACTAGTGTGTTGTTGCCAATTGTCGTGGTCGTTGTGTTTGCCGTTAACCGCGCGAGCTGTGTGTAGTTTGCGTGAGTGTTTGCAATGAATATTAAAATTAAATTATCTGCGTGCAAACTGTTGTGGCTGCCTTTTATACAAATATTGCAATTTCAAGCGATTCTTTTTCTAATTTTATTTTTTGCTTTTAATCTCACAAATCGAATGCAATCTGAAATAAGTACGCACACACAACTAACCACTCGTCGTATCACTCATACTCTACTGCCGTTGCAGCTTTTCAGCATTTGTATTTTATTTTCAATTCAACGGTATTATTTTTCAGCTGCGAGAGCATTTGTTGGACACCTTCACGTTTTAAAATACCATCAAGCACTAAATTTTCTTGTGAGATTTCTCTGGCCGTGACGCTGCGCTAACACTCACGCAAATCAAAATTATCACAAGAAAAAAACCTTTTTGGAAACTGTTTTCATGCTGGTGTATAGAAACCAAGCAAAGCTCAAAATTTTTAAAATAAAGCTTTGATGCTTACGAAAGAGAAATCCTATTGAAGAGAGTAGCGCTGTTGTTTGTGTGGATATGTATGTGTGCATGGAGACAATATTGACACCATGTGCTGTTAGCCGCCAGTTGGGTGGTGCGGAGCAACAAGTATGCTGTTAAATAAATATAGGAATATAGAAACTAGCTGAACTCTCTTGTCGCCACTGTAAACACATAATAAAGCACAGGGTGGGTATTTATATTTCACACTCAATGTTTACACGCACTCACACACCTGTATATAGCTGTATATTCCATTGTATTGTAAATAAAAAGTCAGCTTTGGTTTTGCTCCGAGTATTTGCAGCATCTGTGCAGCCAGTGGCATCATCTCGACGTGTGGCTACGGCAGCGAAGCTTTGATTTAGCCAATTTACGCGCCTTGTTTCCGCAATGAAGTCGCACATTTATGTAGTTGTTATTATTTTAATGCAGATTTTTTGCACACCATTGCAACTACACCACCCACTCGTTTCGCTTCCTGTCCACTCGAGTTCTTTGAGCTTTATATTAATATTTTATTTCAGATAATCAAGGAAGCTTCAACTGTCGTATATTACTTTCTTTCTTAGAAATGTACTTATCATTTGCACTAATAACCTTATTATTGCCATATATGTATGTAAACTCGTTTCTATTTTTGTCTTTCGTTTTTAAACTTTGTCCCCTCTATGTTTTGGAATATTAGCTTTCAACCAGCAAATAGTAACGGATAAAGGCTAACTAAAGTATGTGTAAATATGCTCAGTCACTCAAGTAATTGTATAACATTAAAAATCAATCAATTTTTCTAACTAAACATAAAATACCAACAACATAACCCAACGGATGTCAACTTGAATGAAGTCAACAATGGCAAAATGAAACACTTAAATTATTTTCACTTCTAAAACGTACTCTTTGAAGAGAAAACAAAACCAAAATAAACAAAAGGGAAATACACTAAGAAATCTTATGTTATACTACGTCCGAGTATGCATGGGATTGACAAGCTCGTGACTGCAAAAGAAATAATAAAGGAATAAAAGTGATGTAATAAATATAGGTGAAAGAAATCAAAAATTCAATCAAAATTGATAAAATGAAATTGAAAAAATATATACTTTAAATTAAATTAAATAAATGAAAAAAAAAACAATAAAAAAAAATCTTATAATGAATGAAAAGTATACTTATGTATATGTCCATATATATTACTACAAAATTAATATTGAAATAAAGTAAATGAAAAAATAATAATAAACCAAAAGAACTGCGTAGGCTTGGCGGTCAAGAATGAATCAAGCTAATTTTGATGCTCTGTTCTGATGTACACCGTATTTCAGTGAAAGCGTTCTGCAACTAGCGGAACAAATGCGACAAGTTCTGTGCTATAAGGTGAATGAAGTAAAACTTCCCAGCCGGTGTTGTACAAATAGCTTTTAACTGGTCTTGCAACATGAGGCTGAGCGTTGTGTTGATGGAAAATTGTACCATCATGTCTAGTCGCAAATTCCGGGCGTTTTTCGACAACCGCTCGCTTCATTTAGAGCGGAAGCGGGAATTGGGACATTAATGGTTTCACCCGGTTGGTCAAGTTTCACATGTGACTTCAAAAGGTTTGGCATTTAGCTCTTCTTATGCCTTATCTTCATCGAGTGAAATCTTCCAGTTATTTATCTCCAAACTTTTGGCAAGTTCGCTCAGCTAGGGTATGTTCACCATAAACTTCTACCAAAATACGATGACTTTCGGTTGAGATTTTCTTCATATCAAAGCAATAAAGAAGAACTCCCTGCAAAAAAACTTTTTCAGCCACAAAGTTCGACATAGTTGAGTCAAAAAAGTTATTGCTGTTTACGCTTCAAATAAAAGACGCACAAGAATCGTGGTTTTCCAACGCAGATTCGGAATATTGAAACAATGGATTTATAATCAAGTTACGCCATCTTTTGGTAAACCGTATGAATATAGTTATAGACCCAATATACTTGTATAGCTATTGTTTTAACATAAAAATCAGACAGAAAACGCATTTTAACGCAAATTAGTAACTTCTACGTTCAGTTTGATGATTGTATAATGTAATTAGTTACCAACAGTTAAACAGTAGGCGCTAACTGTAATGATTGACATTAATCAGTTGTTAGAGATACTGTCGAAAATACACAATCATACAAAAATACAATACAAAATAAAAACAGTTATTTGTGTATTTTTATACGTACAAGTATACAAAAAGATAAAATACCTAAAGTAATGCGATTCCTTGCCTATTACAAATTAGTAAAATAAAAGTTTATAAATCAAGTTTTTTGAAAACAAATGTATATATGTATATACAACTTTTTGAATTGCCACCTTAAGGTTATTGACACCAAAAGCATTATTACACACAATTTGCAATTTCGTTTGCCACACATTAGTTCTGACAAAAATTACAACAATTAACCCTTCAGGGAAGCCATGCAAGTACTAAATAATTAATAAAGTCAACTTAAATGTCTCGTATATAACTATTGACATTAATAGCCAAAGATCTGTATTTTGTAGTGCAGTTAATGTAATTATTGCAACGTTCATATGGGTTTACTAAACTAATTGTGCTATAGTCGTAAATAAGTATGTGTGAACAAATGTAATTATTTATTCGTTTATCGAAACTTTTGATTCAATTTTGATTTTCATGTTGTTGAAAGCTTTGACTCATTGTTAAAAAAAACTATGTGTTAGCTCGAATTTAAATAATATCTTGTTACTGCGTTAAATAATTTGTAGAAAGATTTTCGCTTTATCGTCCTTTTAGTTAAAAAATTAAATCACCAGCATTTAGTAAAAAAGCAAAAGCAGAAGAAAAGAAAAATATATGTAAAGTCAATTAGTGTAGTGATTACCACAAATAATCTATAAATATATATGTATATATATTATAAAGAGTATATAATAAATTAGCTGTGCACTCTAAATTATATTAGAAATAATCTTGTCGTTTCTCGAAAAGTTTTGGAGATCCTAGATATTAACTAGTTATACCCAGGGTTGCAAATTTAATTAACAAATTTGGTATTAAAAATTTAATTTTCAGAATCGTAATTAAAAGTTGTAAGTTTATTTTTTTAATCCACAAATCGGAATAAAAATTTGGAAATTTAATTTTTAATCCGAAAATCAGAATTTAATATTGATAAATTATTTTTCAGTTTAAAAATTGTTGTGACAAATGAAAAAATTATTTTTCGAATTAAAAAGGTGGAAAGAAAAATGGAAAAAAAATATTTATATACATATTTCTAACTGAAAAACTATAATTAAATGTAAATCAGACAAAATGTTCTAAATTATTTTGAAACTTTATTAAAAATCAGCTTTCTTTTTACACATTTTAAATTTTTTTCAATCCGGCGATTGGATTTAAATTTTCATTTATAATTCGATTTTTGTGATTAAACATTTTTTTTTAATTTTCCCATCCGGTATTTGTGCTTATAAACTTAGAAAATTGTTTTTGTTAATATTTTCGGAATTAAAAAATTATTTAAATGTTAAATCATTTATCTTTTTAATGCATTATATGCAACCTCGTTGCGCCACCTCTTACATTTGTTGCCTGAGTGTTAATGTCGAAGGAGAGACGAGTCTCATTATTAGAATTGAATTCAACTCCGAACATGTGCTGCTTTTCAAACAAATCTTACACCAAAAAAAGGAGATGTCAAACTTTCTCT